AAAAAAAAAAAAACCCATAAAAAGTCCATGAATAATCCTTCAATTCCTCTTCAACAGCTTCCCGATTATTACACTCTCGCCCCACAAAGTTTCGACTATAACAACAACATGGTCACGTTTAAGAGTACTTCACTAGTTCAAGATTGCATGGCCGTGCCTTGTTTATCCGAACGGGACTCGAGTTTTCCTGATTTCGGTTATACAAATCGGGTTTTCGAGCCTGGAGAACAAGAAATCAGCAGTGAATTACTAATCCAACCTGATCACTTTTGGTCTGCTCATCAATCTCAAGTAGCTCCTGACATTAATTGGGTATCGACACACGTAGTAGTATTATTATTTCATTCCGTTTTAATTAGTTTGTTACGATGATATGTGAATAATATACTTTTCTTGCTAATTATTGGCATACAATGATATATCTTATAACTTTTAGGGATTATTACAAAGCCAACAAGGAGTAGTACCAAATGTTGAAGAGTGTCATGAACATGATGAGGTGAAAGTAATCGGTCGATACTCGGCTGAAGAAAGAAAACGAAGAATTCTAAGGTACTTAAAGAAAAGAAACCAGAGGAACTTTAACAAGACCATAAAGGTATACTAATTTTTTTTTTCTAACACATTTGTTGATTGAGCTATAAATGTTAAATTATAATAGTAACCGAATGAGGTTTTTTATATTAATCGCAGTACGAATGTCGCAAAACCCTAGCAGATAAACGTGTTCGAATCCGAGGAAGATTTGCCAAGAACAATGAACAGAACGAAACTTTTGTAGGGACGGCTGGCGGACAATGTTACGAACAAAATTTTTCGTTTCTTGATGATGAATCAACATTAGAGCCACAGGTAATTAATGTGTAGTACTACTAAGTTGTTATCATGTGTGATTATTATTATTATTGTTATTTATTTTTGCAGGCCCTTGATTGCGATTAGTCGTCTTTTAATAGAAAGGTTATTCGATCGGTGTTTTTTTTTCAGCAGATTATATGCGACGACGATGATGATTGGCTGCAAGCAGCCATGGCTAGTCTCTTGAATCTGCCTTATCCAGCTGGTTGAGCTAAATTTGAACCGATTTAGTAATGTGTCCTGTTTATTTTTATTTTTTTTATTTTTAATTTTGTTGTTATTGTTTTTTTTTTTTCTGTT